CTTTTATTATTTTTTCTTTATTATTATTATTTTTTTAACACTCCTTTAAAAATGTGAAAACATTCTTAGCTAAGTATTCAAGCAAAAACAAGCTAAGGGCTGAATTTGGCCTAAGGCTAATAGTTTGCTGACTCTTTGATTTAGAGTCTAAAATGAGATCATCCTGATTCTTAATTTCTTAACGCAAATGAATTTTTGCCTGAACTTTGTATTTTTCCTACATTGAACCTCTCAAAGTGACTGTTACCTAGACTGGGACTTCCACAGTCTCTCTAATTTAAAATAAAATTTAAAAGACAGCAGTAACTTACCAGCATTCTTTCCAGCGTCACTTCTTTCTTCAGCTGCTCAACTTCCATGACCAATTTGTCCTTTTCTGTCAGATCCTCGATATTGATCACTGGCATCTTTCACCTGCTAAAAAGGTACAAGGTTAACTCATACACCTGCATTGCTGGACTTGTTTCAAGCCAATATTAGTCAACCCTCCCCTCAGATCTTGACTTACAAAGTAAACACTATTTGTTTGTTTTTAAATAACTACGGTATAACTGATTTCTCATGAACGCTCTCTGAACAATCCTAGCACTGCACACTAGCCTTGGATTTTAAAATGTCTTTGTAATCTTCACTAATATGATTAAACCAAGCATTTGATCCTAAACACCTGCCAATAGGTTTGTGGGAGGAGGTCAGTTTAGTCAGTATACAATCTTAAACACCTAAAGTTCCTGTTCTCCCTGTTCTTTGGCACAGTGTAAAAATTTGGGTCTCTAACCTTCATCCCCAACCCTAAAGCCCTCCACCATATGATTTATGTCAGTTTATTTTTAGGTCATTCTGAGGACAGCCTACTAATCCCCTAAATCCCTGGAGTATTTAATATGGTATTAACAGTCCAAACCCATTGCTGTCAAGGCAATTCCACCTCATAGAGACCCTATAGGACAGAGCTGCCCCATAGAGTTTCCAAGGCTGTAAGTCTTTAAGAAGCAGCCTTATCTTTCTCCCACAGAGTGGCTTGGGTTTGAACCACAACCTACTGGTTAGTAGCTGAGCACTTAACGACTGCACCGTCAAAGCTCTTAAAGAAAGAAATATTTCACTGTAGCCAAATGGTATCATGCGTACAGTCTCTCCTTTTTCCAGCCTCTGTTTTTCTGTTTTATGTCTCTGGTCAAATTTCTACAATGAAGTATTTTTATAAAAGTTGGCATGTTCACAGCATATGCCATCTCAGAGAGCAGCATAACACTGCACATAAAAATATTGTACAAAAGTGTCTATCAATGATTAATTCCTTGTATTTGTATCATGTTTTCATATCTAAAGCCTTTGAGAAAACATTATTTCCCTTCCAATTTTATAACAGTCTGCTCACCTCTTGAAAAGAGGTAGTGTAGCATATTTTGAGTGGTCAACACCTAAAAATACTTAGGCCGTCATTGAGGTAAAAAGACCTAATGGTAGCTGAAACCTATGTTTCCTAGGCTTTTTATTTTTGATATTGTGTTCTTTATTTTAGGAAATTATATGACACTGAAAAGGTATTTCTTCCTGTGTGACTGTTATTTGGTATTGGAAAACCCATTATCAATTTTATTCTCATCCTCTCAGACAACCTGTAATAATTCAGAAGCAAGTCCATTTCTGCTGATCATTTTTACCTATTAATGTTGTCTTTGAACAACTTTCTTCCATCTTAGAAAACTTTCCCTACTACTCTGCAATGGCTCTAGCACTTCAGTGTGCGTAAGAATCACATAGGGATCTTGTTAAATATGGGCCCCACCCAAGTGAATCTAAGAAGCTCTAGTGGCATATTGGTTAAAGCATCTGACTGCTAACCAAAAGGTTGGTGTTTCAAACCTACCAGCTGCTCCGTAGGTGAAAGATGAGGCCGACTGCTTCCATAAAGATTTATGGCCTTGGAAACTCTATGGGGTAGTTCTACTCTGTCCTATAGGGTCACTTTGAGTCAGAATCAACTCAATGGCAGTGGATTTATATTTTTAGTTTTCACGTGACTCTCTGACGGGAGCTCTTGTAGCGTAGTGCCTAAGGCAGTTGACTGCTAACCGGAAGCCTGGCAGTTCAAACTCACCAGCCACTCCTTGGAAGGAAGGTTGGGAAATCTACTTCTGTAGTGATACTGCCTCGGCAACCCAAGGAGGAGTCGCTATGAGTTGGGGCCGACTCAACGGCACATAACAACAATAATTCTGATTTAGTAGACTTAGGGTTAGGCTTAGGATTTTACTTTATTTAAGTGCAGTTCTACCATATTATTACCAACCATATCATCACTCACTCAACTCTTTAGCTATGTGGCCTTCAGGAAGTAACTTAACTTCTCTGTGCCTCAGTTCACTGGGAAATAGGCCCAATAATAATACCTTCCTTGTAGACTTTTTCAGAGAATTAAATGGGATAATATAGATAAAGCTTATTTAACAGTCTCTTGAGCAAAGTAAGCACTCAGTACTTGTTAGCTGATGTTACTCTGTACCTTGAAACAGTCACACTATAAGAATGGGTGGCTTTATAAGCACTATAATGCATATCATGCATATGATTTGATTCCTTTAATATCCTGGGTAGCAGGTGCTGTTGGAGTCTGCCTCAGATCCCTTTTCCAGGAGAGGATACCCATCCTCTTGATTGTTGGATGCTCAGGGCTTATACGTGCAACATTCTTTACAAGTTTTCCCTTGGTTGATGGACAACACTTCATTTGAGATTCCTGGGAGATTTTGACTCCAATTGGCTCCTAGAGACTTGTAGTGCACGCTTGGTCGATGTAGGGTTATGTGTAACTTTTTGACACTGAGCTAAACAATTTTGATGAAATTGAGAAATTTCCTGAGCTCCTCATGGTTTCAGGATGAGATAAGACTTCTGAAACCACACCTTTACCTAGCTTCTCTTCCTGTGCCATTCTGCTTTTTTTTTTCTTTCACTCCCTTAATAAGTCACTTGCACTTGCATTCCTGCCTTAGCCACTTGCACAAGAATTCCTGTCTTAGCCTCTGCTTCTCAGAAGCCCAAGCTAAAACACAGTGGATGGTATGAGCTTTTACAAGAGAGGCCATGTCTTTCATAGCTGTTATGCCCTCAACATGGCTTATTGTTCTACACATAATGTGGTCTACAGATGAAAATCAGAACATGTTGATAAAGTCACTTAACCTATGTCATAAATGTTTAACCAGGTAGCCATAAATACCACAGCATGTTACCTAACCCCACTTTTTAAATAAATATTTTCTCAGCTCTGATTTGCTGTGATTAACAGTGTTTAATAATACCTAAAATTGAAACTCACTATATTTGGTGGAAGTGCATTCTTAGAAGATTAGAAAATGCTTGCCAAAATTTGATGCCACAGGTCTTGTATGAAAAACAAAAAATCAGAGTAGCAGTCAGATCTTTTTCTTCTCTCAAGGACACTCAGATACACAGAGAGGACAGTGTTTATTGACTATATAGAGATGCCAAGCGTTCAGAGTTATACTGAAGTCAAGGGTTCATTCAAAAGGATTCACATATAACATCACCATTATGCAGATGAGGCAAAGATGGTGCAGAATGGAAATGCCCAGCATTACACAATAGGTGGTGACTAAGCTGGCGTTAAGACACAGGTGTTTGTTTTCTAGTCTGGGTTATATTCCACCCAGCACACTTCTCTTAGCTATATTTTAAACTAGTGCAACAGGAATGTATCTACTTATTTTTTAATATCCCAGAATGACAGAAAGAAACCCAGAGTGGCATTAAAGCCACCCTTCTTACCCTATGTTCTAACCTTTCAGAACTGCAGTGATTGAGGTCACCTCTCCACAGGGATTTCAGTGAGATGCCAGGTCAGATTGTTGGCCTCATTACCAGTCATCCCCATACCACTGTCAGAGGACAAGGGGAGAACTAAGAGTCCATAGACCAACAAACTAAAGTAGCAGTTACAGTTAACCTAGAGGAGAGTGCCCTGTGAAGTAGATGTTTGCCCTTGTACCTCATCCTACACTACCATCAGAGGATCTAAGGTACAAGAAAAGAAGAGAAGAGGAAGAGAAGGAAGAGTCTCAGAGTTGTACCCCATTCTTAAAGCAGTGGTTGTCAATGGGGACTATACTGCCCCCTAGGGGACTTTTGAAAATGTGTCAAGTTGTTTATGGTTTTTACTGGGTTTTGAGGGTGTGGGTGAGAGAAGTCACATATCTGCATTTCCCAGGATTCTGCTGCATAAGAACTGTCCCACGTCCATCAAGACTGTCAAATATGTCAGATAATCATGTAGGCAGAACCTTATTCATAGTTATCTTAACTTTGAACCTAGTTTCATTTTACATATAAACATAAAATATTTTTTCATGTGTTAATATGCAATAGATTTTCCAATAATGCAGTATTTTATACATCAAAAGATGATAATATTTTGATCACATCAAAAATTACCAAGACTTTTTATCTTTTCAGAAAATCATGTCACTTACTGAACATGATGTATATGTCAGTGTGTATCTGTAGCTGTTGTGTCCATGGTGATTCTACACATAAGTGAAAGTGTCTGACCACTTTATAATGTTATCTGGTGTAGTCATGATTAGCATTTTCATATTGAGACACACTTGCATTCATTCTAATTTACTACTCTTTTTGTATTCTTTGTGATAAAATCCAGCCTTCATATTGATGGTTTTAAATAACCCATTATGAAATATTTCCTATTAAAAATAGAGTCTAGGTCAGATGGGGTTGAGTCTCATTGTTATGGAACCCCAGGAGAAGGGAAGAGAGAGCCTGTTGCTGTTGCACTTTCCTTGGTCTTAATTGCCAAGATGAGCTCTAAACAGCAAAATGGCCAACAATGAAGATCTCTCTTCTATTGTTAAGGGAGCAGCTACTCATTGGGAAATAGGAATTAAACAGAACATAATTTGTGAGGCAATTTCTGGGGAAAACAATAAAGCATGTTTTATGCTTATATACCAATAACTTGAGAATTCTAGGGGGGAAAAAAAAGTGAAGTTTTGGTTCCATTGCAGAAAAGTAGAATAGGAAGGCTTAGCAATGCAGGTGATCCATGGGGGCCCAATACAGAATGATAGGGCATTTTCTTATCATGTATTAGTGTTTTTCTAAGCATTTTGGGAGGATACATCTGAGTACCATGTTTCACTAATGCTTTTCAGAGAGTCCATGAGTTTTTTTCAGAAGTAAGAGAGTCTTATCTAAAATTTGCAGGAGAAAGATGTGGCTGTCTTCTTCCATAAAGATTTATGGCCTTGGAAACCCTATGGGGCAATTCTACTCTGTCCTACAAGGTCACTGTGAGTCAGAATTGACTTGACGGCAATGGTTTTTTTTTGGGGGGTGCGAGGGGGTTAGTCTAATGTTAAAACCA